TTCTCTCATGTTTTTCAGGTGTTTGTTATGCAGAGTTTGGAGTTAGGGTTCCGCACACTACTGGTGAGGCTCTTTTAAATGTTAATTAAGTTTTATACAAATATTGTTTTAATAAATTGCTATAGAAATGACATTAGTTTTTGATAATTAATGTAAATTAATTATACAATAGGTTCTGCGTATATGTATAGCTATGTAACGGTGGGAGAGTTTATTGCATTTGTTATCGGCTGGAATATGTGAGTTCATAAGACTATTCGTTCATCGATTTACTAAATAATGTTTGAATACAGGGTTTTAGAGTATTTGATCGGAACGGCCGCCGGTTCTGCGGCCATATCTGCTTGTATTGATGCACTCTATGGCGGAGCAATACATCACACTATGAAACAAACATTTGGCACATTTGTTGGCCATACGCCAGACCTGATGGCCGCTGTTATCACTATTTTAATGACAATATTATTGGCTACTGGCGTGAAAAAGTCGCTTATGTTTAATAACGTGTTAAATTTAGTAAATTTTGGCGTTTGGATTATAATAGTGTGTTCGTCAGTGTTTTACATTGATTTCGACAACTGGACAGAGCATGGTGGCTTTGCCCCATTCGGCTGGTCAGGCATGTTGAACGGCGCCGCCACCTGTTTCTATGCTTTCATTGGTTTCGATATAATCGCAACGACAGGTCTTTTTTCATTCATCTTATTTATGGATTCAGTCTTTTGTAAAAAAAAACTTATCATTTTTAGGAGAGGAAGCAGAAAACCCTCAGCGCTCGATACCAACTGCCATAATCACTAGTTTGGTTATAGCACTCACCGCTTATACCACTTCTGGTGAGTCTTATTTGTTTTTAAAAAAAACTTATCATTTTTAGGAGAGGAAGCAGAAAACCCTCAGCGCTCGATACCAACTGCCATAATCACTAGTTTGGTTATAGCACTCACCGCTTATACCACTTCTGGTGAGTCTTATTTGTTTTATTTATTAAGGCTTAAAGAATTGGTGACATTTATTCCGCGTTTATTGTTTAAGGAATAGCTATAAAACTATATGTAATTCTTGAATTGCATTTTTGTATACAATAACCATAAAATTCGCAAAAATGAATGCCATTACTGATGTGTAAAATGTAAAAATTATTCCTGCATTTCATACCAAATTTGTCACATATTTTTGCGAATTTTTCTACGAAAAAATTGACCAAAATTTACAATACATTAATTTCATTACTTATTGTCGTTGAAAATTATACAACATTTTAAATTACAAAATTATCCATAATTTGTGAATTTTACTTATATATAATTGACTAAACAATAACTATTATTACATCGAATATCATAAACAACTTGTTTGTTTTATTTTTATTTGTTGCTACAAAAGATATTTCTTAAAAATTTTATTTTTAGTTAAATTTTTAGAATTTAATTTATCTTCAAAATTTGCTTTAAAAAAGCACATCTAATTTTATCTGTTATTTATTTTACAATATACGATACAGTAATTCATTTAAATTACACTATCGCTCAAAATTCATTTAATATTTTTACTTTTTAGTTCACAGATTTTATGCCATAATTTTTAGTTCAAAATAAGTCTTTAGTCTCTTTTGTTTCTTATGAGTATTACCTTAATGTAAAGTTATTGTCATGTCAATTGAGTTAATCCGTTGTGTCAAACAATAATCCTTATGTAATCTTAATTATATAGAATATAATAGCATTTTTGAAACCATAACTAACGATCACAGTATCTGATAAATTACTGTGAATTGTACGGAATATGATAAAATTCACATGGTGTGAAATATAACATGATTAAAATTTGACACATCGATATTTTCTTACATTAAAATTCATTTCTATTTTATTTTTATTTTTGCATTAACAAAAATTACCATAATTTAATATTTTAAATGAAAATTATAGATATTGTTTAGTTTACGTCTATTGTATGCAAAATTGTGAACTCAATGCAATATAAAAAATTTACATTACTGTTAGGTGCATAATGTTGGCCATAAAAAGTGTTGGATATTTTTCTGTAATTAATTACTAACCAATTGGGAGTAATTGTAATTGTACATGAATGAATAGTGATCATTAAAAAATCATATAAAAAATGAATACCACGCTTACTTTTCATTAAATATATAATAATTCCCAATAGATTCTAAAACAATAAAAATATTAATGTTATTTTGTTTTGTTAAAAATTGTATGGCATTGAGTCTATAAACTAAAGTCTTTACAATTATAATTACAAATTGATCTAATGTACTGGTTTATAGAAAAAATAGCTTTTAAATTATCATGGTTAATAATATTTTTAAAGCTTAAGAATATATTTTGCAAATGTCCATATATTTTTAGTAACCTAAGAATTAATGAACACAATTTGTACATTAATATTAATTAATATTAAATTTTACGCCAAAATAGGTCTAATCATAACATTGATGGTGCCGTACGACCAAATAGACCCCGATTCAGCTATGGTTGAGATGTTTGCACAAAACGGAGCCAACAATTTAAAAATGATTGTCGCAATCGGAGCCCTCGCAGGTCTGTAAACATTTAGTTTTGCCAATGATATGCTTTACAGCCATTTATAGCAAACAGTTTAAAACAAATTTTGAATTTATTTAATAGGACTCTTGGTTTCAATGTTGGGTTCAATGGTATAGAATATAATTTAAACTATTAGTTAACATCCATTAAACTATTATTTGTGTGTAGTTCCCAATGCCAAGAGTGGTGTACGCGATGGCAAAGGATGGTCTGGTGTTTAGAGAATTGGCACAAATATCGAGTCTAACAAATACTCCACTTAAAGCCACATTAATATTAGGCGCGTTCACTGCTTTCATTGCATTCATTATGTCTTTGGAAGTACTCGTGGAGATGATGTCAATCGGAACTCTTATGGCATATACTCTCGTAATTTATTATAACAAATTGTATCTAATTTAATATCGTTTGCTAAATGAAGTGATCTCTTAATAGGTGTCTACTTGTGTTCTACTTCTTCGTTATCAGCCGTCGAGAACTAATTTAGTGGATCTGTTACCACAATCCATACGGTCTGCGTGTCCGACGCCCATCAAAGAGGTCTCACCACAAGTGCAGTGCTCTGCGCCCTCCGTTCCTTCAGCGCCACAATTCACTCCTTTCATCACTAATAAAGAGCAACGAATTCATACGAAACGAACGAATCGATGCGATTCCTCAGAAAGCGACGAAACGGATCCAAACTGTTTCCGACAAGAGAGCAAAGACGACGAGTTCTTAGTGCCAGGAAATGCTGGCTTTCATTATGGGTCGGTTCCGTACCAACACGGAGGCAGTAGTGGCCGAAGGTTTCGCATAAATCTATTATTCATTATTATATCAATTCTTTTGAATAAATAATTGAGAAAGTGTTTTGGGTTTTCGCTCTTCAGGTCAGGCCTTCTCGACAAATATGAGAAATTATTTATGTATTTATTTCCGTACGGATGGAAAGTTCACGGACCGGCTTCTGAGGAGACAGGTCTTCATGTGGTCAAATTGGTTGGCGTTCTCTATGTTCTCGTTATCATATTTGACGTAATAATGGCTTATTATATCAATTGTCTCGATTGGTCCAACAATCGTATCGTTGTTTTACTCTTCGGAGCCATTTTTGTAGCCATTGTCGGCTGTATTCTTGCCATTTCAAGACAGCCACAGATCAGGTCTGGCCATCAAATCATTTCTATTAAGCATATTTGTTTGAACGTTACGTCAAACTGTAGGTGCGATTTGAAATTCAAAGCGCCGGGAGTGCCGTTCGTGCCTGCGATTGCCATAATCATCAACATTTATCTCATACTAAGACTTTCGATCCTCACTTTAGTCCGATTCACAGTTTGGATGATCGCCGGTACGTCTCGTTGAGTGCATGAATGGTAATCATTCAATAATCTGATCCATCACTTCCTTCTCTATATTCAGGGCTTGCAATGTATTTCTGTTACGGAATTAAAAACAGTTCACTCGAAGTGATGACAAATACAGAGAGCAAAGACACGCAACAAATGGAGCTAACGATTCCACACAATAGAGTTAAGCCGACGTCGAGACAGAACGAAGTGATTAATAGACCCAATGGTTTCACGGGTACTCTCTCTTCATCTGATAACTCATACAATTGGCGTACATTTGAGTAAAATATACTTCCATTCCTATCGATGATTGTCTTAATCTACTAATCGTTTGCATAAATGGCTTTTCGCTGTATTGCTTGTCATTCATCCCAATACTGAGGACAGGCTGTGATATTCTGTGTTTTCTTTTGATGTGATAACAATATTAATATAATATCAATATATTATATCATAACTTATAATCATATAAAACAAGTTATATTATATAATATTACATATAATAATAAATATATGAAACTTTATTTAAAAACAACGAATTTTTAACAAAACATCACTTCCTTATTGACTCTATCTTCAGCCTAATGTTTCAAATTATTCAAACATTATTTATCACATAATTGTCTATTAATTAAATATAACCTATATTTCAATTTCCAATTCATTATTACTATTCTTATTCTCATTATTATTACTGATTATTATTATTACTAATTATTAATGGTTTCGTCATTTTGTCTAACTTTTTGAATCTCTTTCTCAATATTCATATGGATTTGCTGTGTATGAAGAATGGGAACAATTCTGTTGTACTTTTCAATCATTTTGTTAACTTCTTTAAACTTTTCTTCTAACTTCTGTTTCTCAATAACATTATCTAATTTGGATTTACTCTTCAATGCCATGAGTTGTGCTTTGATATCATTCTTAAGATCTCTAATCTCTTTCTGGAGAAGAACCCATTCGGGAACAAAACCATTGTTTATTAAAATTTCATTCAATTTAAAAGTAGTCGCATCTAAATAAGGATATTCTGGTCGACTCTTCAGAGGCTTTCCATAACCGGAGAGGTTATCAAAGTCTCCCTTTGCCATCGATTCTTGTATCAAGTCTTCAACCAAGCGATCAAATCCTTGTTTCACTTTAGTCTTGCGCTGATATTTAGAGTTCTTAACAGAAATCAACTCATTTTCAGACAAATGAGTGTTTGATTTGATTTGATTGATCTGAAACTCGTTCACGCGATCCGTCGCTTCAATGAGTCGATGGCTTTGGAAGTACTTCTGGCGCTCTGAATGTGTGCCACAACCGATCCCATCCATTGTCAGGTACTGTCTGTGTTGAGCCACTCTATGCTTATGTCTTCCTTCGTCCTTCTCTTCCTCCATCTGTTCCGCATTTGAATGACTCTTCATTTCATTGTCTTTAAGATATTGTTTAAGTCGATTGTATGCACTCTTTATGGCCGTAAACTCTTCGCCGTTCACTTCATTCTTGTGCTGATGAGTGACGTCTGGATGAGCTCTTCGACAGCTCTCTAAATAGCCGTCTCTTAATTGAGTTTCATTGAAATCATACGATATCTTCAATATATCGCAACATTTCTGTCAAAAATGTTTTTATAAATATTTTATTTAAAGTTTAATTCAATTTTACTTGAATTTCATCCAAACTATCACTCGATTTGGATATAAGTCTTAGAATTATGACATTTTTAGCACATGTTTTGGCCATCAAATGAGTTACAAGTATTTTATTGCTAAAAGTGTGAAACATGTTTTCAGATGTTTTAAAGTTTAAATTGTAATCATTAAATGTAATCCTTTTAAAGTGAGTAAACAGTTATGTAATGGTTGTGAATATGGTTTATGAAGTAGTGTTGCCAGTGTTGCCAGTGTTGCCAGTGTTGCCAGTGTTGCCAATACAACACATACACTGTGTTTGGCGTCAATAATACTATTGCTATATATTTGTAATGTTTGCTAAATATGTGTGAAATGTGTGACAAATGTTTGCATTTGTTGTTTAACTCATTCAATGAGTTGTATTGAAAGTAAAGCCAATGATTTGTTATGATTATTACGTAATGATAATTGGTTTGTAAGCAATGACTTGACTAAACACGTGAAGACATTGTCCATTGGATGTGATGAAAGTGATGGCACTGTTGTTGACATCGTTTGATACGAAGCGCTTGTTATCGGCTTTTATTGCATTGATTTTAGTGTTTATTGTATTGACTTTCAGTAAGTTTTCAATCAATTGATTGCATAAATAAATCATTAATGAATTGATTTTATAAATCGTTAGTTACTTTCCATTACATGAATGGCAACATTGAATACAACTACAACTCAATGCCACCGATTGTCCACAATTTGAATGCCAAAGCCGTGGATGTGTTTGACAAGTGGTCGACGGGAAGAATGTCGCGAATCCAAGTGTATTGCAATCCTTTCACCACAATTGCGGCCAACGATGAGCTCTTCAACATCTCTGCTGTGATCACTGATCTAAGTCTGTCTCAGGTGTCTGTAGTCATAAGACATGGCGATCGCGGACCTCTTCGTCCGGTCCGTCACATGTCATCCATAAGTTGTGATCCGTTTATTACATTTAAATCCACTCATTATCACAATGTGTTTAAAAACTTTTTCATTCAAACAAAAGACAGAATTAAATACTTGTCTAAAAATTTTGCAAAGACTCCGAAATCGTGGTGTGAATTGGGAGGACTCACACGATATGGTTGTGTCCAACACTTGACTTTAGGCTCACTATTGGCCACAATATATACCAATCAATTGAATCTAAAGCCGCGACACATGAAAGTGTGGACCACTCCATACCCGCGCACATATCAAAGCGCTCTCGCGTTTGTCTACGGCTTTCTCAGACCAAAAACAGTCGTCGACTTCGAGACGTCGATTGTCCACAATTTGAATGCCAAAGCCGTGGATGTGTTTGACAAGTGGTCGACGGGAAGAATGTCGCGAATCCAAGTGTATTGCAATCCTTTCACCACAATTGCGGCCAACGATGAGCTCTTCAATATCTCTGTTGTGATCACTGATCTAAGTCTGTCTCAGGTGTCTGTAGTCATAAGACATGGCGATCGCGGACCTCTTCGTCCGGTCCGTCACATGTCATCCATAAGTTGTGATCCGTTTATCACATTTAAATCCACTCATTATCACAATGTGTTTAAGAATTTTTTCATTCAAACAAAAGACAGAATTAAATACTTGTCCAAAAATTTTGCAAAGACTCCGAAATCGTGGTGTGAATTGGGAGGACTCACACGATATGGTTGTGTCCAACACTTGACTTTAGGCTCACTATTGGCCACAATATATAGCAATCAATTGAATCTAAAGCCGCGACACATGAAAGTGTGGACCACTCCATACCCGCGCACATATCAAAGCGCTCTCGCGTTTGTCTACGGCTTTCTCAGACCAAAAACAGTCGTCGACTTCGAGACGTTTCCGCAAATTATGACCACAATTGGCACACATTTCTGTCAAACACCGCAGACTTCTCAGTATTGTCTGAAAAGATGCAAAAAATTAGATGTTTTGCATAAAATAATGAATGAGAATAAGAAGCAACTCTTGTCATCACATCCGGCAGTCGTTCAACTTTTATCTGATTTGAAGTCAATTATAGCTCAGAATTCAAACGAAAGTCGATTATTTGAATCTCCGATAGCGTTGTTTGACGGACTCATGGCATACATGTGTCACAACAGTTCCCTTCCCTGCAATGAGAAGAGATGTGTGACCGTCGATGACGTGAAAGAATTAATTTCTTACATTGAGTTTCACGGAAAACAGTTGGCCGTCTCTGAAGTGTTTAAACACTTAAATTGGCTTAAAATATACGGATTTCTTAATAACTTAATTGAAAGCATAAGTCATAAGCAAAATAAAGAGAAATTTGTTTTATATTCAGCGCACGACATAACTATTGTTTCCATCACATCCGCCCTCAACTTCTTTGACGGCAATCTCCCGCCGTATGCCTCACGAGTCATATTCGAGACATACAGACATCGTTTAACTAATGATATATTTTTACGAATTATATATAATGGCAAAGATGTGACTCGTTTTACCGAGATTTGTAAACTTAATCCATCAAAATGTCAGACTTTAAGTACACAACAAAACATATATTTAATTAATTTCAACGATTTTGTTGAGTTTGTTTCGTTTAAATTCAAATATTTTACTCAAACATCTGTATTTCAAAACGCTTGCGATAATTAGTTATTTATTAATTAATTTACTTTTTATATAATATACTGTATAATATGTTTTATATTTATTTGCAATTGTAAATAAATACAAATATTTATAATTTTATAATAATTTACATTTAATTTAAGTTCTTTTTAAATAACTTTAGCCATTGTTTTACGGAAATTAATTAGAATCTTCTGGTAATTGGGATCTGAATCGATGTCAACCAATATATCTTCGCTTGAATTGTCGTTCAAATTATTTAGATTTGCATTTTGTGAACAATTGAAATAATTTTTGTTTAATAAGGTTTTGATTTGATTGTTGGGAAGGAGTAGTGGACAGGGAAGCAGTTCTTTCATAATACTGTGATGTATAACAAGGCATTCAATGCTTTGGAATTCTTTGGAGAAACCCTTAAACAACAACAAAAATTTATTGATATAATTAAAATAATAAATGAATGTTATATGAAATGAATTTACCTTTATTTTAAAAGTTTGTCTCTCAGTCATGACAATCAAATAGTGTGCGATTCCTGTCAAATGATAATCGTTGGGAACTCTTAGGGTGAGAGCGAAACAATTTTGTTGAGTCGTTGAACGTCGGACTATAAACGAACCGATGGGACAGTTGTCCAACATTTTGGTGGCATTGTCTCGTTGTGTGGATCCATAAAACCATTGCTTGCCTTTAATGTCGTACTCTTGTAGAGAATCACTGTTGAGTGAAAGCGGCGATAATTGTAATGAGTTATGATTTGTGTGAGTGTTGTAATCGTTTTGATTGTGCGATAATCCCATTGAATACAATTCATTGTCGTTAATCATAATGCGATCCATTAAATGCACGGAAACGAGTCCATCGCCTCTATTGGCAAAAGTGACTGAAGGTGTGACCGATGTCTGCAAATGATAGCATTCGGTCACTGAGTTCTGTTGGCTTTGGTTAAACATTGTGGTCGACTGTTGCGATCGCATCACAAGACATACATTGTTTAAAGAGTTTGAGGCGTTCGTACACTTTATCACATCTTTCATTCGTCTTGATTTATGTCTTGAGAAGAGTTGATTCAGGAATTTAATTGTCGTATTTGACAGACTTTGACTGAATTGTAGATTTGAGAAAACATTTGGACTTCTCATCGAAGTGTCGGTCAACTTATGAAGAATTGGAAGCGAATTCATTGTCTCATCAGATATTGTCACTAAAATCGATGATATGTTATATATTAGTGAATGAAATGTAATAGAAGACAATGCGATGACATCCGGTGCAAGTGGTTCAACAACTTTTACAACTTTTGGCAACTTTAGAGTCGTGTGGAGTCAACTCAAAACTGGCTTTAAGAGCACCTGCACTGCGCTTTTATTGCTTCGATATACTGTATAATAAGCCAATGCTATTGCTATAGAGCTAAGGAATGCAGGTATGCAAAGGTATGCCACACATGAACCACATTCCGCAGTCAACGCAAACACCGGAAAGATAAATGCTTTTCTTATATGCAGTTATATATGAATCTCTTTTAACAACTACTGAAAAACATTTCTTAAGCATTAGATTGAACAGAACTTTTAGCATAAAGAAATATCTTATATTTATGACTACTGTGTAATAAGAATTTAAATTATATCGTTTGCTCTTTTTATGTTTTATATTTTTCACAATAACAAAAAACTAATTAATAGAGTCAACAACTCTTTCTCGTCTTTTTGTTGCATTACTTTAGAGATTGGATTTTGGATAAAATTAATGGACTTATGCATGAATGTGCAAAAGCCATCATTATTATGTTACTCTGGTCTCTCGTTTAAACAATTTTTAATAAACCTTCAAATATAACCACAACTTGTAAAAATATTTACATATAAAAGGCAACAATAATGATCATGATAATTGATTAATGATTAAGTAAAACTAAAAATATAAAAAATGTATAATTAGTACCGATAGAAATATTTTTCAAGATTTGCCCCAATTTGCCTATTTTTTAATTATTTGGTTTTAGTTATTACAAGTTATAATTTAAATGAATTAATTAAACAACAAAATTTGTATTTAATACAGTATTTACAAGTGTTTGGGTAACTTTTAAAACGGGAATTCATTATTTGTTTGATTTCTTGTTGTATACAGTATTTTCTGTACTTCTCTGTACTATTTTATATGCTGTCAGTGAGTAATTATTTTCTAACAGAATCTCTATTAGATTCTCTATACCTGTCACTCAAAATAATTAAATTCCCATTTCGTTTCACTCGAAGAGATAATTTATCACTTTGTTTGTAAACCTTGTTTGCGTTCTTATGGTATTGTTTTTAATTACATAATGTATACAATATATAACAATATAGAGTATAAATTATTATAAATCTTGTGCTTATAAGAGATTTAGATGATATAAAAACAACTATACAAATAATCTAAATTTATTGTAAACGCTATGAACAAATAATAAATAAACTAAATTTCATTACATATAAAACACAACAAAACAGTAAATTTTTTATTTGATTAAAAATGAATAAATATTATAAACTTATAAAAATTTAACACAATTTAACATTGAATAAACAAATTATGGGATAGAGATAGAAGTGATGGTCAAATGGATTGGTATATAAATGGTTATGTTCTGTGTTTGACTGAATGGAAAAACCAGTCCAATTTGGTAGACCAGGCGCCGCCGTGTGCCTCATCGAGTTGGGCCTCGAAGTACTTGAGCGCCTCATCGTCGATGAGGCGCTCAAGTACTTCGAGGCCCAACTCGATGAGGCACACGGCGGCGCCTGGTCTACCAAATTGGACTGGTTTTTCCATTCAGTCAAACACAGAACATAACCATTTATATACCAATCCATTCGACCATCACTTCTATCTCTATCCCATAATTTGTTTATTCAATGTTAAATTGTGTTGAATTTTTATAAGTTTATAATATTTATTCATTTTTAATCAAATAAAAAATTTACTGTTTTGTTGTATTTTATATGTAATGAAATTTAGTTTATTTATTATTTGTTCACAACGTTTACAATAAATTTAGATCATTTGTATAATTGTTTTTATATCATCTAAATCTCTTATAAGCACAAGATTTATAATAATTTATACTCTATATTGTTATATATTGTATACATTATGTAATTAAAAACAATACCATAAGAACGCAATAAATTATCTCTTCGAGTGAAACGAAATAGGAATTTAATTATTTTGAGTGACAGGTATAGAGAATCTAATAGAGATTCTGTTAGAAAATAATTACTCACTGACAGCATAGAAAATAGTACAGAGAAGTACAGAAAATACTGTATACAACAAGGAATCAAACAAATAATGTATTCCTGTTTTAAAAGTTACCCAAACACTTGTAAATACTGTATTAAATACAAATTTTGTTATTTAATTAATTCATTAAAATTATAACTTGTATTGCTTAATAACTAAAACCAAATAATTAAAAAAATAAGCAAATTGGGGAAAATCTTGAAAAATATTTCTACTAATTATACATTTTTTATATTTTCAGTTTTACTTGATCATTAATCAATTATCATGAATCATGATCATTATGGTTGCCTTTTATATGTAAATATTTTTACAAGTTGTGGTTATATTTGAGGGTTTATTAAAAATTATTTAAACGAGAGACCAGAGTAACATAATAATGATGGCTTTTGCACATTCATGCATAAGTCCATTAATTTTATCCAAAATCCAATCTCTAAAGTAATGCAACAAAAAGACGAGAAAGAGTTGTTGACT